TGAATGCTATCACATGACCTGTTTAGTCAATAAAATCAGGCTGAATTGTGTGCCAGTTTGAAGTCTGGGCTTTAAGAGGCCTTGTACATTCTCCCTGGTGTCTTGTGTTCCTTCCTCTTCCCTGAAAGTGGTATGTTTCGACTAAGCCTTGGTTCCAGGTTGGAGAAGAAAGCTACCTGGTGCAGAGACAAGCTGCAGTAGGGTGAGCCTCAGACAGACCGTCCATTGAAAAGAAATGTCAGGCCAGGCGCGGTGGCTCACGCCTGTAATCCCAGCACTTTGGGAGGCCGAGGTGGGTGGATCACGAGGTCAAGAGATCGAGACCATCCTGATCAACATGGTGAAACCCTGTCTTTACTAAAAATACAAAAAATTAGCTGGGCACGGTGGCGCTTGCCTGTAATCCCAGCTACTGAGGAGGCTGAGGCAGAAGAATTGCCTGAACCCAGGAGGCGGAGGTTGCGGTCAGCCAAGATTGCGCCATTGCACTCCAGCCTGGGTAACAAGAGCGAAACTCTGTCTCAGAAAAAAAAAAAAGAAAAAGAAAAAGAAAAAAAAAAAAAAAAGAAATGTCAGCTAAATACTTGTATGCTTGTGAGTTTTAGTAGAGCTTGTTATGTAAAAGTAACTAACTGATATACATGTTTGAGACGCTTTTTTTCCATATTAAAACAAAGTCCACATAAAAATGAATGTATTTAAAGTTTGAGTTTCTCACTGAACTGAAAGAGAATATATTCTCTTGTGTATATGTCTGTTTGTGTATACATTAATATGTATACACACAACATATGTATCACATTTCAAAGTCTTTTTTTAAAAAGGCACTTTATCTATCTTATCTCTGTCTAGATGTCACTCTGTATAGAAAATTTTAAAGGTTTCCTTTTTATGTGTTATCTTAATCCTACGAAAAACATTCCTGTCATATAGTTGTGAGGGTAACCGCTCAAGGTTATCCCTTGAATGAGTCAAATGAAACTGAAAAAGTATTGAGTTTGGACTTCTAGCATTCATCCAGCTATATAAAAGAATAAAATTGAATTAAATCACAAGGATCTTTTGCTCAAAGGCACATGAATAAATCTATACACCCTGTGGAATCCTCTGGGGATCCCATATCTTGAGAACTCTTACAAAGTGAAAGAGTCCTTTATAAGAAAAACAATGAAGACAAAATAAGTTTAAATTTAAATTATTTTTCTTTTTTTTAATATAAAAACTTATGTGATATACTGATATGTATTTACATGCATATTAACCATCAACAAATAATCATTGCATAGTTGATAACAATATCTAAAAAACAGGGAGAAGTAACATCAAGGTAAAATGTACTGAAATATTACATTAAATAAAAAATAGTAATGGAAAAATATAAATCAAAGATAAGAAATAGAGCATTGTTATATGTTCAGTTTATTGTAGAGAGATAATGTGTTTTATACCCTACATGATATATAATTGGAATTGGGATAGTTATGTAATTAGAATGGCATGCTGCCTTCCATTATAATCCCTGCCCACTAGAGAGATGACAGATGGGTAATTTCAAGGTTTTATCTGCAGCGGGGGAATGGACTTACTGGTTCATCTGTCAGGTAAGCCACTTTGCAGTCATCTCCGAGTTCATTAAGGCTTTCCAGTCTTAGAAGAAATACATTTTAATATGGAAAATAGGTTGTTTGGGGATATTATGCTTCACCTCTCTCATCGCTTCAGCTGTCCTATGTCAAATTTCTGCTCAGAAGTCTTCTACAAAGTCAATGATAAATTTGGCAGTATTCTTGTAAACCTCAGAAACAAGATAATTGGACCTGAAACGTCAATCATCTTTCCATATCTAAACATTTTCCTTTCCTCTAGGATGACCCTAAACAAAGTCAAAATTAGATAAATATTTTTCAAATTCTCTCTTATCTCATTAACTTACAATAAGCCTTTCCTTTCCTAATATTATATGATTGTTTGTACTGTAAGTTCAAAACTAACAGGCAAGACACCCATATTTATAATGTCATGGTCTTATTTTTCCAAGAATGCCTATTTTACTCAAATTAAAACGAAAGTGTAATTAACTATAAAGAACTACATCTTATTTTTAATATTCTTCACATCTAAAGCACTGGGAAAATAGCAAATGGTTTTAAGTACTTTCTTAGGGTTGAGCCATATTGTATAAATGTGATAATAAAGAGTAGAATAATATTTAGGTAGAATAAGGAAGAGAGAACTGCAACTATCATATGCCAGCAAATCAGTTTATTCAGTTAGCAAATTAAAAAAACCATATAAAGATTCCTATGATTGTTTGTTTAAGGGAAATTAGTTAAAGGTTATGCTTATACACATCAGTTGTTAAGCAGTCTAGTTAGGTGAGAGAATCTTAGCAGGAACAATTTTATGTATATGCAAAAATAGCAAAGTATTATGCAAAATTTGTCAGTGAACAATCTTTATAAAAACTTTTTGGATTTAAGTTTGTTATTTAATGTATCACAACTGTTAAACTTACTAGACAGTATTAAAATAATCTAGAGTTTAACTCTTTTTTTTTTTTTTTTCCTGAGATGGTCTCCCTCTATTGCCCAGGCTGGAGTTCAATGGCACAATCTTGGCTCACTACAAACTCTGCTGCCTCGGTTTGAGTGATTCTCCTGCCTCAACCACCTTAGTAGCTGGGATTATAGGCACGCATCAAGATGCCTGGCTAATTTTTGCATTTTTAATAGAGAGAGGACTTTACCATGTTGGTCAGGCTGAACCAGAACTCCTGACTTGGGGTTATCTGGCTCCCTCGGCTTCCCAAACTGTTGGGTTTACAGGTGTGATTCACTGTCCCCGACCCAGTTTAACTCCTAAATCTTAAGTATTATGAGTTTATGAGAAATCCAGGGTTTTTTTTTTTTTTTCAGATCTAAAATATAGTATTTTTGTTAAAGTAACCTGGAAATCAAGAAGGCATTTACTGAGCTGAGAATTGTCTCATAAGCATTTAAATCCTGATGATCAAAAATGATCAGCATTACTTCCCAAGTTTTATAAATCACATAATTTATATTTCTATATTTAGTTGTTCAATAGAGTTAAAGTCAGTTGCTTGTATTTAAGGGTGTAAAGATGTGTGTGTGAGTGTGTGTAAAATTTCACCCAATAAATACTGTACTTCTAGCTTAGAAAATGTAATAGCCATTTGTTTTTTTTCTCTCAGCTAAGACAACACATTTCCATTTAATTAAAGTCTTGAACATAGCCTGAGTTCACACTAAAATTTCGATGTTTGCTAACTAAATAAATGGATTTGCTGGCATTTAACATCAAAATAGTTTGTAGACTGTCTTCTCTTTTGGCAAAAAAAATCCATGGAATTTCAAAAAACTTAATTCACATGTTTAAATGCAAAAGTGCTAACTAAAATAAAGGATCAAAATGAGATAGATTAACCATTTTATTTCTTCTTCATATTTTAGTTAAAAAGAAATAACATGAGTTCTGTTTTCAGCTGCATTATACCACTTCAAATTTGAAAATAACACAGAACTACACAAAACCAAAGCTGGAGATTTTATATTTTAGAAAAAATATTTCAAACCCATATTTTTAGTTTTCGATGTTTTAAATCTGTATTCATTGTAACAACTATAATATTTGAATAGATGTAAGTTAGAAATAAAATTTTCTTAACAAAAAAAATGAGAGCTATGTTTTTTATTCTACTCTTATTTATTGGCTGATTTCTGATTAATTATAATATAATTTATTTTTATTTCTTCAACTTTTAAGTTCTGGTGTATGTGTGCAGGATGTGCAGGTTGTTATATAGGTAAATGTGTGCCATGGTAGTTTGCTGCACTGATTAACTCATCGCCAATCTATTAGGCCCAGGAACCATTAGCTATTCTTCCTGATGCTCTCCCTTCCCAGCCCCTCCCAACAGGCCCCAGTGTGTGTTGTTCCCCTGGATGTGTCCACATGTTTCTATCGTTCAGCTCCCACTTATAAATGAGAACATGTGGTGTTTGGTTTTCTGTTTCTGCATTAACTTGCTGAGAATAACAGCCTCAGCCCCCATCCATGTTCCTGCAAAAGCCACTATCTCATTCCTTTTTATGGCTGCATTGTATTCCATGGTATATATGTACCACATTTTCTTTATCTAGTTTATCATTGATGGGCATTTGGGCTGGTTCCATATCTTTGCTATTGTGAATAGTGCTGCGATGAACATACCTGGAGATGTATCTTTATAAAAGAATGATTTATATTTGATTGTATACCCAGTAATTGGATTGTTGAGTCAAATGATATTTCTGCTTCCAGATCTTTGAGGAATTAGCACACTGTCTTCCACAATGGTTGAACTAATTTACATTCCCAGCAGTGTAAAAGTGTTCCGTTTTCTACCCAACCTTGCCAGCATTGATTGTTTCTTGACATTTTAATAATCACCATTCTTACTGGCATGCGATGGTATCTCATTGCGGTTTTGATTTGCATTTCTCTAATGATAAGTAGTGTTGAGCTTTTTTTGTATGTTTGTTGGTTGCATGAACATCTTCCATTGCGAAGGGTCTGTTCAAGTCATTTGCTCACTTTTTAACTGAGTTGTTTTTTTCCTGTGAATATTATAATTTAAATATGTCAAGACTAAAAGAGAGCGCTCTTGATTAATTATGAAAAGAGGGAGTACAAATAAGAAACAGTGAGCAACAAATTTAACCATAAAACAGAAGAAATAACTTTGTTTCTCAAATAAATTGGAAAGTGGAGATTGAACCAGAAACATTATTTCATGTTTCTGAATTTGATTTGACAAAGCTTCGCTTGAGTAAGAATTGGTGAATAATTTTGTACATTTCTGTGCAATTTAAAGAGCATAAGTAAAGGGAGAACGTCTTAATTATGTAATATCTTTTAAAATCCATCCTGTCAAAGAATATACCCAGTTTGGCTGCTGAAGGCTGGTTTGTGTCGACACGGTGGTTATCCTGAGTCTCTAGATGGGCGAGCGCATTCGTGCTAGTGCCGCTTGCTGCGGGTTTGAGACCCAGTGGGTGGTGGGCCTAGGCCTTATTGGCCGGGAGCCTGACCTTGATTCCCACTGGGAGCCAGAGGAACCAGAGCTGCAGGAGGTGGAGAGGTACCCGCTTTTCCCTGGCCCTCAGCTTGAAGCAGCACCTGGCTCCCCTGCGTCCCCTTGGCGCTGGGGGTCCTGCCAGACAGCAGCCCTGGTTCCTTCTTACCCCTTGTCAGGGCCCAGCGCCAGGTGTTCAGCTCCCCTGGGACCACTGGTTCCTTCACTAATGGCGTATTTCATCGCCAGTTTAGAGAGTTTGGCATGCTCAAGGGCAGTTGTTGTTTTAGAGGTTAGCTTTCTGGGTGTATAGGGCAGCCTTAAGCTGGCAACATGGCCCGGTTATGATAAAAAGAGAAGTGGGCTAAGAGCTCCATGATTTAGCCGGAGGCTCTTCAAACATCCCTCCTGCTTCTGTGCATGGCTTCTGCCATTGGTTCTCTCCCCCAGCACCCTGCAACGCTGGAAAAAAAGCAATCCGATTCCAGAAAATTTGGAGGCAAACGGAGGTGCCTGGTCCTGGTCAGTTCCCAGGCTAGCAGAAAGCTCTGCTGTCAGCAGTGATGCGATCCAAAGAGGTTTTTTTTGTTTTTGTTTTGCCCGAGTGTCGCTGTCTCAGTGGCACCATCTCCGCTCCTGAAACCTCCGCCTCTTGGGTTCAAACGAATCTCCCGCCTCAGCCTCCCGAGTAGCTGGGATTACAGGCACCTGCCACAATGCACGACTAATTTTTTTGTATTTTTAGTAGAGATGGTGTTTCACCATATTGGCCAGCCTGGTCTCAAACGCCTGACCTCAGGTGATCCACCTGTCTCGGCCTTCCAAAGTGCTGGGATTACAGTGTGAGCCACCGTTCCAGGTGCAGAAGTTTGTACCCACATTGGAGCAGAAGCTGAAGCAGGATAAAAAATTCCTTAAGAAAGCTGGGCTTGCCTAGCTCCCGCAGCTCCAGGGCTCCGGAAACACCTCAAAACTGCTCCCTGCAGGCCACTCTCTAGCAGGATCTTTGCTTATGCCAGGGCATGAAGCCTCATCCAAAGACCCGAAACACAGCACAACTTTGAAAGCAATAGATTCAAAGACTCACGGGGAAAATACACCAAGGAGATGGAAGGGAAGAAATGAAGGAATCCAGGGCCTGGAAGAGAGCTTTTGCAGCCCTGGGTCATCAGGCAGAGCTGCAGAAGTACTCCAGTGATTGTGGGAGCACCAAAAGGACTGGCCATGGTGGGCTGCTAAGTGATCAGAAGCTGGCGTAAAGGCAAGGGAGCGGGTAACTGCAGCAGCAAAGTAGTGCACAGGGGGCAGGGGTTCTTTGACAGCAATGGGAACTTCCTGGACAGAATTTGAGTCGTGGCTTGGCTCGTGGAGATGCCTCGTGAAACACAGCTGGGCAAATATTAATATATATGGAACAGCCTGGAATTCCGTGTATGGATAAGCCAGCTTGGAGCAGGAAGAAGTGATGAGGCTGGGATGTGGGAGGAAAGAGCTGCGTGGATAGAATCAAACTTCCTGTAGTAGGGCTCCCAGTCTGACCTCTGTAGATCCTCAGTACTCAACCATTCTTACCTGGGCTCTCTGTATGTTGAAAACCAGTCTGTGTTGCATGTATTGTTATAATTTTCTGTTGTACTTGCAATATACATTTAAGCGGAAGTGAAAAGTTTGACTTCTAACCTCATTTCCTTCTTTATCAGTGAACACTAACAGTTCTGGGAAAACTTAGTCAATTGGTTTTCCTTACAAGCAAAAACAAGTAAAATGTAGCAAGAAAAAATTTTTAGGATTTTTTAAAAAATAATTTTTATAATTATTAGTTATATAAATGTCTATTGTACAATAAAAATTATTACATCTATTTACTATTTTGTAATTAGCATATATCACGACATATAATCAAACATTAAATAGAAGTTTAATTTAAAGTATTTATGGGATTTTAAAAAGTTTTGGATCCATGAAAATATTTTAAAATTATTCTGTAATCATTTATATCACAAGTACAAAGAATCAAAACAAAATATTTCATGTGCTGAAACTAGGAAAAGATCAATTGAGTCCCATAAGTATCAGGAGATAAGGGCTAAATGTGGTACAGTTTGGAAAATATTGTCAGAAGGAAATGTAAGAAGCTCACACCAGGCTTATCTGCTCTGTTTACAGTAAGGTGTGGTGAAGAAGGAGTGAAGGCAATTTCAAAGGATCAAAACTCATTCATTTCGGAGGAGGAGTGCAGGCATGCAGTCAGGATGCAAAATGAACATAGAATAAAAACTCTAAACCCATTTTACTCATCAGGAATATGAATTTTTAGAAATAGCAGTGGTTCATGTAGGTTAAAAAAGATGAAATGTGTATAAGAGCATATGCTGCATATAAAAATTATTTACACATAAATACATATAAATATAAGTTTACAGAAAATATATACATTATATATTGTATATGTTTATACATAATATAGGGTGAATATATACCTATATATTTTGTGTGCATATGTATGTATGTATAAAAATAAAATGTATTTTCGGGTGGCTCAGGCCTATAATCCCAGCACTTTGGGAGGCCGAGGCGGGTGGATCACGAGGTCAAGAGATCGAGACCATCCTGGTCAACAAGGTGAAACTCCATCTCTACTAAAAATACAAAAATTAGCTGGGCATGGTGGTGTGCACCTGTAGTCCCAGCTACTTGGGAGACTGAGGCAGGAGAACTGCTTGAACCCAGGAGGTGGAGGTTGCGGAGAGCCAAGATTGTGCCATTGCACTCCAGTCTGGGTAACAACAGCAAAACTCTGTCTCAAAAAATAAATAAAAAAATAAATAAATAAATATAATAAATAAATAAATAAATAAAATGTATTTTCTTTAATTTGGCATCTGCATCAGAAAAACAGACTTCTGGAAAGTATTGAGACTCTGAAGTGAAGAGAGAGAAAATGCTCATTGAATTATAAACAAATAGCCTAGATATCACTTCAGCCATCAAGAACAAAATAAATTTACTCAGAAATATTGCACAATCTCATAGAAAAGTTTACCTTCTAACAGGAAAAATTATATATTTACAATCTAGTGGGCCGTATATGGGACAAAAATTTAAATGAATTTATAGATAAAGTTTGGAAAACACTCTTAAAATTAGATACCCTTGGTTGTTCATCTTTGTTCTCATAGAATCAAATAAATTAACAGAAAAGGTTCTACAGTTTTTCAGAGAACACGTGTGCCTTACAAAAACAGGGAAATCATTTCATGAGCAATGTTTCTTAGTATATGAAAGACACAGATTGGCCAAGTAAAGTAAATCAGTTCCTTATGACCCAGAAAAAGTTTCAAATCACCACCACTTCCACAGTCCTAATAAGAAAAATGTAAGAACATAAGAGGGTTATATTTTTAAAATATAAATTCAGATAAAATTTGGGAAAGGTAAAACTATTGATATTATTGTACATCAGGCAAGAAACAAAATAAAACAATTTTTTAAACTATAAGGGATAGAATTTTGAAATAAATTGAACCAAAAATGTACAAAAACACTTAAAAAGAAAAGTAAAGTCATTGTACAACTTACAAACAAATTAATGATGGAAAATGTCAGGCTAGAAATTTTCTTACTTTAAATAATTATGGCATTAAAAAAACAGAAATCATAGGTCTACTGTAATGAGATCTAGTGGCTAATGAAGATTCCCCAAATGGTTAGTTTGGCTATGACAGAAAAGCTAGTGAAGATGCCCAGATATTTGCCCATGACGGAGAATCTGTCTTACTGTAAACATCTGTGAAATCAACATAATATGTAGAAATACTTGTTTAAAGGGATTTATGAGAAACCAACAGTGGAAACATTTGAGGGAGTGTTAGTGCTGACTGAATGGAATCACAAGCAGGTGCACGTCATCTTTAGCACAGCATTTTTCCTGAAATTATTTATCAATTCCTACTGGGGTAAAGTTGGTAGTGAAAGAATGTTGCAGTCACACTGTCCAGAGAAATACAAAAGCTGAAGACTGGGTTAGTCAAAGTGCCTGGAAAAGGGAGAGCGTGTGAAGAAAAGAGAAAATCATGGGAATGACCTAAAAATCTACACGCAGCCTCCACCTCCTTCAGGCAATTATCGGCTGCTAATTTTGTCATTATCGAACAGGACTTTAATAGTCCATTGTAATGTAGAAGGAGAAAGGCTAAAGAGCTGAGATAAGATTTCCAAAAGTACTCTGCTGAGAAGAGGTTGGAATTTAATGCCAGTGTGGAATGGTGCATAGATAACCTAGGATTTCATTTGAGACTCCAGAACTCACAAAATAGAAGGGAAAACTGAAACACTAATAGTGACAAAGAATGAAAACCAGTCTTTTACAGGATTAAGATCCTCTGCTTCTGTTTTATATTACCGATGGAAGAAAACCTAAATTTCACAGGAGGAAGAAGACACAGTTCAGTGTTTATACAAATTCTAACTGTGATGCCTGATAGCCAGTTTAAACAAAACAAAACAACAATAACAGAAACATCAAAAGGTATCTAGAAAACCAAACCATGTGAGTAAAAACAGAGATAAAAATGTACTCTGGAAAAGAGGCACAGAAGTGATTTGAATTTGAGTATTATCAGATTGAAATTTTTAAAATAGATATGCTAATTATGTTTCAGCAAAGTAGCAAAATTTGAATCAAATTAAAAGAAAATTTGACTGTTTCTAAAGGTATTGATATGGTTTGGCTGTGTCCATACCCAAATCTCACCTTGAATTTTAATATTCCCCAGGTGTCAGAGGCAGGGCCAGGTGGATATAATTAAGTAATGGGAGCAGTTTCCCCATACTGTTCACATAGTAGTAAATCAGTCTCAGGAGATTTGATGGGTTTATAAATGGGAGTTCCCCTGCACAAACTCTCTTGCCTGCACCATGTGTGACTGTGCTTCTCATTCACCTTCCACCGTGATTATGAGGCTTCTCCAGCCATGTGGAGCTGTGAGTCAATTAAACCTCTTTCCTTTATAAATTACTCAGTCTCAGGTATGTCTTTATTAACAGTGTGAGAACAGACTAATACAGGTATGTAATAAAAATTCTAAAATAGAAAATGCTATAATTGAAATTAAAAATTTAATTAAGTATTAGACAAGAACAAATATTAGTAAACTCCAAGGCAGGTGAAGCCATTTGAGGAAAACAGAGAATGTAAGAAATACAGAAATGACAATCAAGTACATGTTAAGATGGTGTGAAAGTCTAATATACTTGTAATTAGAGTTTAAGAAGAAATAAAAAAGGTAATAAGTTAGAAATAATACTAGGAGAAATACTGTCAATTTTTTTTCAAAATTTACAAAAGATATTGAACTGTAGGATTTTTAAAAAAATAAAAGGCTTGCAAAATGCAAGAAAAATCAATAAACAGAAATCCACAACTAGGTACATTATAGTAAAAGTTTGGAAAAAAAGAAAAATATTAATAAAGGCAGCCAGATAAGGAAAATGCACTATCTTTAAAATAGCACCAATATGGGTAAGCTGTTTCAAAGAAGAAATGTTGTAGGAAAATCTGGGTTCTTGTCACACAACCAAGAAAGATGAGGCTCACAGACATTTTGAAGGGTGAGAAGGGCAGGGTTTATTGGGGGAAAAAGGAAAAAAAAAAAAAAGGGAAACAGGACTCCTAGCAAAGTGAGAGTCCTGCTAGCAGGTTTTTCTTCTCACAGATTGAATTCCCAGTTACCACCCAGGCACAGGAGAGGCCAGGCTGCTTGCCCTTGCAAATGGCATAATGGTGGGTCTGTGGACCCACCTTCTTCTCCCAGCACACCGGCCAGTTGGAGATTCTCCAGGGACCTTCTCCCTTTATGCTTGGCTCTCAGAAACCCAAAAATTACTATAATAAACATAAAATTGAAGGAAATTTTATGTTAAAGAACTCATGAAAGAAGTGAAGTTCAAGAAGAAAATTATGCTTAAACATGATCAATATAATACAAATACAGCAAAGGTAAAAAATTTTTTAAATACTAATTACTTTGAAAGGTAACAAGAAAGCACTATTAGTAAACATCTGGATAATAGATCCTGAACGTAGCCATCTATTTGGTTACAACTTAAATGAGTAATCAATAGATACTAGATGTCTGAAAGCCATCACATTCATTTAATGTGAATCTAATATAATAGAGATAATTGAAATTTAACATCCCTTTTCTCGGTATAAGATCTGATGGAAGACTGCCTTTAAATGTTTCAGATGTGTGTAGAACATATTTGTTAGGAACACATTTTACTTAAAATTACAGTATTTCAAAAACCTACGTTTGAGAACAAGTGTCCTACATGCTCTATGAAAGCAAATAGTTGGGGGACAACCAGTATGCCTATTTAGGATTGGCTTATTGATGGAGTGGTCCCTTGGTAGACAAATGTTCACAACTAAACTCAAACAGGGATAGAATGGACAATAGGGTTGGTGCGACAAGTGAAAGCTATGACCATTCCTGTGACTGAGTAAAAAGCACTATAAGAAGACTAAGAATTTTACTTTGTGAGGCGACACCTTCATTTATTCAGCAAATAGCCTCACCGCTTGGTTGGTCTCTTTTTATTCAGAGTCAGTTGAACTCTAGAAGTGGGAGATTTCAGAGAAAAGTAATCTGTGTCTGACAATTTAGTGTGAGAATTGTAGGCACTTCTGGGAAATTTAATACTACAGGAGAGGATTTTAAAAAATGGCTAGCCTTTCCTAGAAACACCTCTTTGTCAAAAAAGAAAATGT